AAAGCCAAACATATTGAAATGACATTATATGTATCTTGTATGTTAACGCAAATCTTCTTCTATTGTTGGTATGGAAACGAATTAAAAATAAAGGTATGGTAAGGTAGATATTTAGTAGGTGTGATAGGTATATGTATTTTTAATTAAATGCTAAATCTATTAAGTCTATATTTGCAAAATTCTAACGGTACATATACTATTAAAGCATTGTAATATATTATGTTACTAATACAAGGTATCATGTAATATAAATATATCTCGTTTCTTACACAAATGCTACGTATGGATACATTTTACATATTTCAGTAGAGTCATCAAATAATTGACAATATTTTCGAAATGGAGTGGCAGACGTTGGACAAAAATAGAAAAAAGTCTTTAATGATAGTAATGAGGCGAACAATTGTACCTATTCAAATTACTTGTGCTTATATTGTTCCCATGAATCTTAATACATTTATGGGTGTTAGTATAAATGTTATAAAGCAAATTTCGTCAAATTTTAATTTTAGATATATTTGAATATGTTCTCCATTTGAAAAGAATGATTTATAATATATTAATTCATTATATTATTAAAATATTTTAACAAATTTTATTAATTTTAATTAATTGATAATTTAATTTTAATTACTTAATAAATCAAAATTATGTCGGTTTATTAAATAAATTTGGAAAATACTAAAAATTTGGAATTATTGTTCGGAATAACATAAACAAATTTAGCACTATATGTAATTAATGTAAAAATGTAATGTATTTAATATTAATATTGACGAAGTCAACTGTAAATTTATTAATAACTGAACAAATTTAGATAAAGATTAAGATTGTATGTTTACTAATTCTAGATACTTAAGACGTCTTATTCTACTTATAATTTACTGCAAAATATGCAGGTGTGAGTTTGTAAATGATCAATGGAATTAAAGAGCTACAGCTACTCATATCAAATATAACTAATTGTGAAAAGAGACAAGAAACGAAAAAAAAATATATATATATGTATATAAATATATTTGCAATTAATGTTAATAATTAGCATTAGTTACCTTCACTTAACTACCACATTTCACAAATCACGTTATAAAACAATTAAAAAATTATTAAAAAATGTGTTTTTATTCTATTGCATATTTTTCTCATTTTCTTACATTTATTAACATCTGTTTAATACCTGTATTTTACATT